GGAGATGTAGTTATCTATGCAGTGGGATGATGGGAGATGTAGTTATCCATGCAGTGGGATGATGGGAGATGTAGTTCTCTTTGCAGTGGGATGATGGGAGATGTAGTTCTCCATGTAGGGGATGATGGGAGATGTAGTTATCTATGCAGGGGATGATGGGAGATGTAGTTCTCTATGCAGGGGATGATGGGAGATGTAGTTCTCCATGCAGTGGGTGATGGGAGATGTAGTTATCTATGCAGGGGATGATGGAAGATGTAGTTCTCCATGCAGTGGGATGATGGGAGATGTAGTTATCTATGCAGTGGGATGATGGGAGATGTAGTTATCCATGCAGTGGGATGATGGGAGATGTAGTTCTCTTTGCAGTGGGATGATGGGAGATGTAGTTCTCCATGTAGGGGATGATGGGAGACGTAGTTCTCCATGCAGTGGGGTGATGGGAGATGTAGTTATCCATGCAGTGGGATGATGGGAGATGCAGTTATCTATGCAGGGGATGATGGGAGATGTAATTCTCTATGCAGTGGGATGATGGGAGATGTAGTTCTCCATGTAGGGGATGATGGGAGATGTAGTTCTCCATGCAGTGGGGGTGATGGGAGATGTAGTTATCTATGCAGTGGGATGATGGGAGAAGTAGTTCTCCATGCAGTGGGATGATGGGATATGTAGTTATCTATGTAGTGGGATGATGGGAGATGTAGTTCTCCATGCAGGGGATGATGGGAGATGTAGTTATCTATGCAGTGGGGTGATGGGAGATGTAGTTATCCATGCAGTGGGATGATGGGAGATATAGTTCCCTTTGCAGTGGGATGATGGGAGATGTAGTTCTCCATGTAGGGGGATGAGGGGAGATGTAGTTCTCCATGCAGGGGATGCTGGGAGATAGCTCCCCACGCAGTGGTGATGGGAGACGAAGTTCCATGCAGCCATAAGGTGGGGAGATGTAGTTCTCCATGTAGTGGATGAAGGGGAGATGTAGTTCTCCATGCAGTGGGATGAAGGGAGATGTAGTTCTCCATGCAGTGGGATGATGGGAGATGTAGTTCTACATGCAGTGGGATGATGGGAGATGTAGTTCTCCATGCAGGGGATGATGGGAGATGTAGTTCTCCATGCAGTGGGTGATGGGAGATGTAGTTATCTATGCAGAGGATGATGGAAGATGTAGTTCTCCATGCAGTGGGATGATGGGAGATGTAGTTATCTATGCAGTGGGATGATGGGAGATGTAGTTATCCATGCAGTGGGATGATGGGAGATGTAGTTCTCTTTGCAGTGGGATGATGGGAGATGTAGTTCTCCATGTAGGGGATGATGGGAGATGTAGTTCTCTATGCAGGGGATGATGGGAGATGTAGTTCTCTATGCAGGGGATGATGGGAGATGTAGTTCTCCATGCAGTGGGTGATGGGAGATGTAGTTATCTATGCAGGGGATGATGGAAGATGTAGTTCTCCATGCAGTGGGATGATGGGAGATGTAGTTATCTATGCAGTGGGATGATGGGAGATATAGTTCCCTTTGCAGTGGGATGATGGGAGATGTAGTTCTCCATGTAGGGGGATGATGGGAGATGTAGTTCTCCATGCAGTGGGGTGATGGGAGATGTAGTTATCCATGCAGTGGGATGATGGGAGATGTAGTTATCTATGCAGGGGATGATGGGAGATGTAGTTATCTATGCAGGGGATGATGGGAGATGTAGTTCTCTATGTAGTGGGATGATGGGAGATGTAGTTCTCCATGCAGGGGATGATGGGAGATGCAGTTATCTATGCAGGGGATGATGGGCGATGTAGTTATCTATGCAGTGAGATGATGGGAGAAGCAGTTCTCCATGCAGTGGGATGATGGGAGATGTAGTTATCTATGCAGTGGGATGATGGGAGAAGTAGTTCTCCATGCAGTGGGATGATGGGATATGTAGTTATCTATGTAGTGGGATGATGGGAGATGTAGTTCTCCATGCAGGGGATGATGGGAGATGTAGTTATCTATGCAGGGGATGATGGGAGATGTAGTTCTACATGCAGTGGGATGATGAGAGATGTAGTTCTCCATGCAGTGGGTGATGGGAGATGTAGTTCTTCATGCAGTGGGTGATGGGAGATGTAGTTCTTCATGCAGGGGATGCTGGGAGATATAGTTCTCCATGCAGTGGGTGATGGGAGACGTAGTTCTCCATGCATTTGGTGGTGGGAGATGTAGTTCTCCATGTAGTGGGATGAAGGGAGATGTAGTTCTCCATGCAGTGGGATGATGGGAGATGTAGTTCTACATGCAGTGGGATGATGGGAGATGTAGTTATCTATGCAGGGACGATGGGAGATGTACTTCTCCATGCAGTGGGTGATGGGAGATGTAGTTCTTCATGCGGGGGATGATGGGAGATATAGTTCTCCATGCAGTCGGTGATGGGAGATGTAGTTCTCCATGTAGTGGGATGATGGGAGATGTAGTTATCCATGTAGTGGGATGATGGGAGATGTAATTATCTATGCAGGGACGATGGGAGATGTAGTTATCTATGCAGGGGATGATGGGAGATGTAGTTCTCTATGTAGTGGGATGATGGGAGATGTAGTTCTCCATGCAGGGGATGATGGGAGATGCAGTTATCTATGCAGGGGATGATGGGCGATGTAGTTATCTATGCAGTGAGATGATGGGAGAAGCAGTTCTCCATGCAGTGGGATGATGGGAGATGTAGTTATCTATGCAGTGGGATGATGGGAGAAGTAGTTCTCCATGCAGTGGGATGATGGGATATGTAGTTATCTATGTAGTGGGATGATGGGAGATGTAGTTCTCCATGCAGGGGATGATGGGAGATGTAGTTATCTATGCAGGGGATGATGGGAGATGTAGTTCTACATGCAGTGGGATGATGAGAGATGTAGTTCTCCATGCAGTGGGTGATGGGAGATGTAGTTCTTCATGCAGTGGGTGATGGGAGATGTAGTTCTTCATGCAGGGGATGCTGGGAGATATAGTTCTCCATGCAGTGGGTGATGGGAGACGTAGTTCTCCATGCATTTGGTGGTGGGAGATGTAGTTCTCCATGTAGTGGGATGAAGGGAGATGTAGTTCTCCATGCAGTGGGAT